AGTTCATTTGGTACAGCGTCTCCGGTGCTCTTCTAAGGCCAATGACTCTGAACCTCATTAATTAAAAATATTTTCTCGCCTCCTTATAACGCTAATCGGAAGTCTGATCGGATGAAAGGGAACGGGACTAACAAGGCAGGCGGAAAAAACCTCAGGGAATGACTGGGGGCAGAGCTGATTTCCTTTGGGTATTGGGAGAAGGGGAAAAACGAAGGATGGAAAGGGGAGAGAGAGAGAGAGAGAGAGAGGGAAACTCCTGGGGTAGAATCATTCACGTAGGAGGAGACCAGCAAGGACTCCCCGTGATCTTGAACAGGGGAACCTTGTGTCTCTCTATGCATGCTCTGATGAACCTGTCACCGGCATACTGATTGCTTCTCTTGCCACGATCGACGCCTTCCGTGCATCTCTTTCTTTCCCCTGTCTCCAGGGGAATAGGGGTGAATCCTAAATGTGACCTCCATTTTTCCTGGCTGCCGGCTTCCATGACAACTTTGATGAGAAAATACCTTGCTCTAACTCGATGAGAGCGCTAAGTGAAAGAGCGATTGTTCTTCTGGTGACAGGAAATACGAAGACCCAGAACGCATTATTGTAAATACTGCAGTACTCGCAAAAACTATGGTCGCTGCCAAAGAAAATGACAAAAAAAAGGCTTCTTTCCCTTGATTAGACTCTAGGAGCAGAATGAGCTTGTCAGACGCAGTATGAAACCGGAGAGAAGTGCCAATCCCCCATACATTTCGGCTTCTTCCACTTTCTCGTCACATTAATCCGATTTCCCCCGGCATTCATTAGCATTATTACCGCATTCATCCTCGACCCTCCATCCCGTCACCTCGCTCTTCTGCTCCATCTAATCCTTAGACCTCATAATCGATTTTCAGGGGGGGAGAGCAACACCATCTTGATCTTTTCGCAAAGCTACTCAGCAGGAAAGCGTCGGAATGACAAATTGGAATCAATCTAGCTTCGGAAATAAAACTGCCGGTGACTTGAATTCCCTGGTCACGTCATTTGGTAATTTGCAAGTTCCTCTCCCCTAATGCCTTCGAAAGAGAGCAAGTGGGCACATCCCAGGAGATCACGATAATCAAAGGAGATTTGGGGGAAGGGGGACCTATGGCCGGGTTAATAATGCATGATGGTTTCTGCTAATGCATTCCGGAGAGGGAAGTCAGTACCCTCTCCCCCCACACATGTGAGCTATGCGTCCCGGTGGGTGGGGAAGGAACCCCTCCACACTTGCATATACGTTACCCCTGTTTAGGAACGTGAGACATCTCTCGGGAAATTGATGCGTATGATTATGGACGAGTTCCTCATTAGCCTACGTAAGAGATCCCTATTAGAGCCATCAGCATCAATCTCCTCCTCCTCGCATCACCTTCTAATCATATCGGTGTCAACCTTCCTAATTCTCTGTATGCCTTACACAGTAGGTCTATGTGTTTCTCCGTCTCTGCTTAAAGCTCACTCTTCCCCTCTTAAATAAAAAAAAGGAAATGTCATTAATAAGCAAGGCAGTCAATTAGCAAGTTCATTACGAGCGGGAAGCTGAATCGATTGAGGTGACGTGACGAAGACGATGATCGTTTTCCTTATTCATAAGCCAGGAGCCCGAAAGTGAAGCGAGGCTTCTGTTTAGCTGGCTGTGGAATTAGATTCTCTCGTTATAGATGGTTCTCGGCACGCGGGACCCATCATCTCGGCCTTCATCACATCGTCCCCGGGAAAATATGAACTGCAAACATGCACCATCCGTCACATGAGAGTTTCCCACCTGCCTTGGGCCACGTGGAATGGTGTCATGGCTCCTCATTCATCCAATACGCTCTGCGCTTTTCATCGATAGATCACGCTCATCCCGGCTGATATTTTCTCATTTTGCCGAAGACTGGAATGAAATATCCTAAGAACTTCGACCTGCAGGGAGCTTCCGCGCTAGTGACACTGCCTCTGAATTCGATGAGTTATCGAGCTATTGAGTCATTAGCGCGACATCTGGATTCCACTCGAGATTTTTTTTTCTTGACTAGCGAAGAGAGGAAAGGGAACAGGGAAGGGGAGGAGTCCTTTCCTCCATCGTCCCCTCTCTCATGATTGATGCAAGGGAATCTTCTTCGCACAATGACGAATTAAAGGGAGGGAAAAACAGGGAAGTCTTCTCATATCCCTCCTAGATCCCTCCTGGGAATCTGTAGGAGAGATGAAAAATATGAAACTCGAGACATGGAGGGACATGGCAGCCAATTATCGCCCTCCATTCCCTTGTAAGACCTATGATGGGAAGAAATATCAGAAAGAATTTTCTTTTTATCATCTCCTCCTTCCTCAGGTTTCTCCTTCGACTTTTTAAAAGGCACTTCTAGAGCATTTTCGGAGCGCGCTTCAAGTTACGTTGACAAGAGCGGATTGTCTTTCCATTGTTGATTTTTCTCTTTCTTTTTTTTTCCTGATTCTTCGTCGAGGCTAGTTCCACCAAGAAAACCAGGATATATCAGAGAATTCGGTTTTCGGCAAGCAGGTTCATCAGCCAGATGCACGCCTTAGGGGAAAGAAAATCCTTACACATCAGCAAGATGAACGGTTTTTGGCCCCAGGAACTGCATCGATTTCCTGGGATATAAAAAGCGTCTCAAAATTATGCATCCACGAAGAAAGGTATCCATGTCTTGCCAGCTCGTGCCTTTTTTACACTTTGCTGCATCGGGAATCGAAGGTTCCTAACAAATGCAACTGCGATTCTTTCCTCTTTTTTTTTCAACGTGGAGGAGCCCTCCTCCCTTTTCGTCTTCTCATGAGTACTTCCTCCTATGGGTGCATAATTACAGGACGTGTCAGTGCTCAGAGGTGAGATTTCCTGAAATCACATGTACGAGACAAAAGGCTTGAGGATGTGGAGGAAGGAATGTCTCCGCAGGAGTAAAGGGGGAAGAGTGCACTTCATGGGGCACTGCCGTTTTACCAATACTATCCCGATACATTTCCCATTCTAAATCTTGCACAGCGACACCCTGTGTACGTGAGGAAAGGATAAGGTGCAATGGAAGCACTCTTCAGTGTAAACAGATCGCAGTGAGGCGGTGGTGGTGAATGCGAATGCAAGCCAATGAACGAAGATACCAATAATCCCTGCCTCGATTGCGGTTTCTCTCCCGTTCTCGAGGCTCATCGTGATTCAACACGTGTTTGTTGGGGAAGGAGGCGAACCGGAGGGAGAAAAAAAAAATTAATAATGACTCGGTCAATATTTGGCCACGGGTGTCAAGTAGCCGAGGCGACCATCTCTTCTGTTTTCCCAGTCTGTCCATGCCTTGGGTTTTTCTGGGAGAAGGAAGAAGAAGAATCCCGCTGAAAGCAATTAGGATCCTCACAAGTCAATACACACATACACAATACACTCAGCTGTGGGCTGCTTCCCCCTCTGTCTTCACCACGGGTCAATGAGTGATCTCATAATCCTCCAGGGAGAATTCTCCGCATTCCGGATAATTAGCTGCCTTGTCAGCCCGCCTGACACACGCAATTGTCTTCTGGGGATTAGGGCGAGTCACAACGTTTCGGAACTCAGGGTTGCCAGGTCCGGAAAGTGGAAAATACCATTTGGGGAACGAAGATGCCCTTTTTGGGAAGGGCTTCTTCGTTCCTCAAAAATAGTCCTTCTTTCCACGAGGGCACCACAGTGCAATAAGTACAGATCGCACAAGCCCTCGACACATAATTGCTCATCATTTTCAACATTATGCCATCTCTCATCATTAGTCTGAGTAGCTACGTGAGGACGAGCATTCGTACCCTCGTGCTCAAGTCCGCAAAGCACAAAGGCATTAAAATATCACGGAAAATACCATAACTTTTTTATCTTCCACTGCCGGACCGTCCAGAAAAGAATGGGTCAGAGGGTAAAAAAAATTAGAAGAAATTTTTGAAGCACGACCAAGCAGGCCTGTAAACGTGCTTCCTCTAAGCGACGAAGTACAGAGCTGACGTTAAGTTTATTTTTGTCCCGATGCTCTTGATGACAGGACTCTCTAATATCGTCCATTATGAGAGATAAGTCGAGGCACGGCTGGAGAGTAAGAAGATTATATTAAAATAGCTTCCTATCAGATGACTCACTCGTCCAGGATGAAGGGATAACTGTCAAAAGGCATATACTGCGTTTCATCAGATCAATCTTTAGGAAGAATGAAAAGGGCAACTTTTGTTCTGCTCCACTTCTAAACTCATCAGAGAACGAAGTCACTTCGCCTGGAATCACTCGCATTCTATTTGCTATTTTGAGCCTATCGTAGGTATTTTATCTCAAATAAAACCGCGAAAAGACTTCAGAATAAATCAAGAGGGGCTTTTAGTGACGTGATGAAAGGGTAAGGAAAAAAGGAAATGCATTTGATCTCGAAAGAAGGTTGTGGGGAAGGGGGGGGGGGGGGGGGAGATCTTGGGGGATTTCCAATCATCGTTCAGGGAAGAAAGGAGAAATCTCTTTGATCCAAGAGCCGAGAAGCAAAGAAGACATTAGAGTTTTAGCTTGGGAATCGCGGCACGTCAAGCGTCGAGGTTTCTCGGGGTATAACAGGTCATTAAGGCAGGCCGAGTTGGAGACCTGACCTGAATGAGGGAAAAGATGCGATACGGACTTATAGGAGACTCCCATCCATTTTATATCCCTCCTTTCCCTGGAATGGAGGGGGACAAAGAGATGAGGATTGGCTCCTGTCGATGGGGACATTAGCCCGGGAGGAATTGGACGTTAGGACGTTGGTCCCCTCCGTGTCAATCAATGTCTCGTGTGATAATGGTCACCGACTCGTCAACGTCTTTTGGCCTTTGGCCCAATTGGCATTGCTCGCGTGCCTCCTTCCCGGCGGTTTATGGCATCACGACGACAATAATGCTACGTCTTCGGTAGATGACACATTCCAGTCTTATAGAACAAAGCGAGCACAAGGGACTTTATTCTTCCACGAAAGGGGAGACAAAAGATTCGATATGAACTGGGATATGGATCACGTTTTCTCTCCATTGCTTAAGATATGCCATCTCCAAACTACTCTTATTTTTTTTTAGAGAAAAAGAAAGCGAACGAACTGGCTTAGCACGCCGATCAGCTTGGCAGTGAAAGCTTCCTTACAGACACGTCTGGTTTTTCTCAATGATTGGCACCTGTAACAACTCTGAGATTCAACCAATAAATAACAAGCAGCAGCGACCATTTTAGCTTGATAGGAAACCTTGTCTAAAAGTATCACAGACATTTCCTTCACCCCCGTTCTTCAAATATCCACCGACTGCTGACCGGTGAAGGCCTTGTAGTTGGAGTTGGGCGATGTCTTCCTCCTGTCACACTTCATTCCACTCTTCGACTTCACGTCCTTTTTTTTGAAAAGAAGAGGGAGACGTAAGACTAAAACCTCGTCAACGGGAGGAACAAGTTAGCTTTCAGGCGGATAAAGGAAATGAGAATGCAAGGCTTTCGTAGGGGATTTCAGGACATAAAAGGACATAAATGAGCCGAGGACAAGAAGGAGCGGGAGAGCAAGAAGCTTCTCGCTCGATTACACTGGATCTAATTATGACACGAAGGAGGACATTAGCAAGACTTGGCAACCAGGGAAAATGGTCTTTATTTCTTCCGAGAAGCACAGGCTATTTTCCCGCCACGTTATGATGTTATCTGTTCCCTTTTCTTCCCAGACACTCACTTTAATGCATTCACGTCACTGGTGATGACGTTTCCGGAACTTGGAAATTCATAATTACCAGCCGGTCTCGGGGAGAGACAATGAGGCAACTCAATATTCAGCTGCAGGGAGCTTCAAAACACGGTCATGCGCTACTTATTAAGGCAAACATCAACTGTGCAATGTTGTGTACTCCTCAGAGACGGAGAGCAAACAAGCCTCACCTGCCTTCGGTGTTTGACGGCCAGCGCCACGGCGTTGAAGTCGGATTCTTTATCGGATTCACTGCAACAATAGTCGGTGTCTTCCTCTTCATTATGACTGGAATCGTCGGAGCTCCCTCTCCGATACAGGCTATCGACTTCCGTGTACAGACCCTCGAGTTTCTCTCTGAGACACGAGATCGCAGCACCTGCGCAACGATTGCAACGATTAGTTCCACGTGGCAATAAGTTGTCGGAATGGCAGACAGGTAGGAAAGGGGAGAGAATTCTTTGTAAAATTTAAGACTTTCTCATTTCCCCACCGATTTCACGCTCCGGCCGTGCTTCCTGGGCATTATCGGCCTCTGCGGTCCTCACCTGAGATCTCATCGAGGCGTTGCTCGTGAGGATTGGGGAGGAGACTGGGTAACGAGGACTGAATGCATCGGTCTTGCATGGGACCCTGGCCCTGGATTTGCTCTTCGCATACCCCTTCCATCATAGAAGGTGTGGGCAAAGAATTCAGTCCTTGGAATGGTACTCGACGGTACATGCACCGTCGACCTCGTTGCCCCATCCCCTTATCGAATGATACCTGCGTGAAACCAGACCAACCGACTTGGATATAACCAAAGCCCAGATGGGAAATTCGTAATTTTCAGAGTGATTAGGCCTCACAATATTTACCTGAGAGGAGTTTTCGGGGGCGGGGGGAGGTGGGGGTGGAATGATTTCGGACCAGTCAAGCACGACTCCTCCGACTTCGTTATTATTATCCCTTCGAGTTTGAGATCCCGTCGAGGTAAGTGATCTCTTGGATCCACGCTGAGGGTATCTCTCGAAGGACATAAGTGTTGGAGCCCGGCCTAAGAAAAAAGAAAATGCATATCCTACTGAAGGCCTGGCGCGGGTTTTACCCAAATTGGGCCAATGTAAGAATGGAAGATACCTTTGCAGGAGCTTCCGGAATGAGATCCCGATCGGAATTGACCGGCGTTGTCATAGAGAAGGACATCCGGAACAGGGCTAGGGGACCCGTTTCCAGAGTGGATCAGACTCCTCGACTCCAAATAAGACTGGATCACCGCCGTGGATGCATACGGTATCGGGGTATTGGAGGGATTCCCGCCGGTTAAGAGAAGCTGCTGTTCGCTAGAATCCAGCCCGTGTCCATTCAGGGCCTTTTTTTCCGAGTCCTCTCCTGGATTCCCCGTTGGCTCTCCTGGTCCGTGACGTCGCCACTTTGGCTCTAACCAAAGATTCTCTTTCCCTCCGTTCAGATAACACATCCCGGGTACTTTCTGGGACTCTGGAATCGAACAAAGGACATAGGCGTAATGCTTCCACAGGCCTCCAAAAATGTGTTCAGGCTTCTTTTCCGTGACCTGAAGCTTTAGATGCGGCAATTCAGACCGCGAGCGATAATACTGTCATGAATAGACTCGGTGTTATTAAGCTATTCACACACGAAAGCGATAACGCGAATGTCTCTAGATTAACACATTCTTTACAGTCGCGGGGATCATGTGCTACCTTTGAATAATTCACGCCTGTTATAAATTAATGTTTGCAGTGTAAATCAAGTTATGAGTCATGAGATGAATCATAAAACACTGATAATACAGCAAAGTAAGCAAGCTGCTGTCTCACCGGTGAAGCCGCCAGTGGAGAATTTATTGGCCTGTCTCCTGCGGATCGAGATGATAACGACGAAGACCCCCAGGAGGATGAACATGAGCCCCCCAATGAGTCCAATGAACCAGGCCTCTTGCGCCACATCTCGACTGTCGCCAGCAACGAGATGAGGGGTCAAGTGAGGCCCAGGTATTTTCACTTCCACTGGCGTGGAAAATGGACCCATCCCAGCCTTCGTAAAAGCTGCCACTCTCAATACATAACTCTGGGTGCTATTAAGACTGTGGAATACTATCGAGGTTCTCGTCGCGTTTGAAGATACAGATGAAGCTGGCTCTTCTCCAGAGACACTCAGTCGGACCTAGTGTAAAAGAAAAAGGAAAAAATAGAAGTCGACTTTAGCTAGAGAAACAGAGAAAAATGAGGGGAGCAACAGGTGAGCCAATGATGGCGGTCCATGAATAATAAAACATGAGGAGAGTGCATCAAGAGCCCCCTGAATATAAGATAGAAGACCGAGAGGAGGGTATAGTGTAGGCTATAGGTAGGGCCATCTTTCACTTGCTCTCTCTCCCCTATTCCCCCTCCCCACCCTCTTTCCTTTACCTGATAACCGAGTAAGATGCCGTTGTGGAAGCGAGCAGCTGGAGGCTCCCACGAGGCTAGCGCCGAACTCCCGTTCAAAAGACGGACCGTGATCAAGATCGGAGAAGCCGAAGGAGCTGCAAAGGAAAAAGGGGAATCAAGTCGTCTCTTTCAGGATTCATCGATCTCCATACATCTTCACCCTGCATGAACGCCTGCCCGCAAACGATCCGAGAGGAAGCGGGCAAGAATAAGGAGAAGGGGGGAACGGACCTCCTTCCATGGTTTGCACGGTTTGAAGATTTGAGGGGATCCCGACGAATGAACCGATGAAGGGGACGAGAAAGAATTCGTAGTTAGTTGACATGTTGAGAGCCCTCACCACGTACGTGGATATCGGCTCTTCCCGACTCAATACCAAGCTCAAGATGTGCACTGGAGACTCGCTTTCTGCTTCCGTATATCGAATGTAGAAACCTTCTACATCCGCCGATCCTTTCGTTATCTGGGGACAACGAGACCTATAAAATCGATGCCCTCCCAAAAGGTGTTCAAGGTAATTAAAAAATCACGGCATTTCGACTGACCTTCCACGACAGACGGACGGAGTCGGGGGATACAGCTTGGGCGCGTTCCAGTTTCACTGTGACACCATCAAGAGGATTATTGATGGATTCAGTAACAGAACCCGATTCGAACCTAGATCCCTTGGCTCCTGTATACACTTTCTCAGAGATGGGACTGGGCGGAGATAATCCATGACTGTTCTCAGATCTCACAATGAAAACATGCACTTCCTCCGGGTGTAACCCGTCGATCGTGTAGACCTGACTGGTAATACTGTAGCCAACTCGTTCCCACCCACTGCTACGGTTCATGTTATGATATTCAATCATATAACCTGCAGAAGAGAAGGAAGTAATTACGACGATTCTCTCGAAATTCTCATCTACTTCACATTTTGTGCAAGGCTGAACTCACCGATGATGTTTGAGGAACCAACGCGAGGGCTTCTGTCCCACATGAGAGTGACCGAAGTCTTCGTCACATTGACCACGTTAGGCCGAGAAGGGGGACCAGGAAACGTCACTGGATCAGAGGACTTGTGGAACATCACGTTCGGATTTTGAGGCTTCTCCACTCGAAGACGAGAGGACCACGTCGTCTGACCAGAATCCGAAGTCGCCACGCAAGTGTAAGTCGCTCCGTCTCCCAGCCACAAGTCTGTATGCCGTATAAGAGATTCATTCAAAAAGAGGGCTCCATTCTTTCATTGGATTTCAGAAGAAAGGCTGATGCGAGCAGTAGATGCGAATGGAAGGCGCTTGGGAATAATGAGCCATTGCTGGGCTCTGGTTCCCTGGAGGGTTTCCCGGTGGTTGATTCAATCGAGAGGGATACACTCGTTCCCTGATTCCTCTAGCGGAAAATTCCCTCAGAGAACCAAAGCGAGCAAGAGACAGAGTACCCTTCCCCCTGACAATAATTGCCTTCTATCAACACACTATAAGAAAGACACTCAACCAACCCCTTTCAATAACGCAATAGGTCTACAAGTGTCATAAAGAAACCCCCTCCCCCCAAGAGAACGGAGAACAGCTCTAGCATGAAAGATACAGAACAGCAAGAGAGAACGATTCCGATGTACTGTATAATGTATGACGTACGCGGAAACGACATGAGAGTATCTCGCAGCCTAGTGCATTAGTAACGCACAGGAAGCAGTGTAATAGTTCAGAGAAAGAGCTCGCCTTTGATGATGAGACTCCCGCGTTCGAGGGTCATTCTTTGGTGGTCGAGTCGAAGTGGCTCTCCATCTTGTCGCCAAGTGATTTCCACAGGCAAAGGTCCAGTCGCTTCACATCTGAGAGTGGCACTCGAACCGACCGGTAACGTCTGATTTGCAGGGCCGTATTTTATCACAGGAGGTGGCAATCGACGTGGCTCTTGATAGATCAAACGAGCTTTGGCCTGATTAGCGCCAGCAGAGTTCAGTGTCATGCAAACGTATGTCCCTTCGTCCTCGGGTTTCGTTTCCTTCAGCGTTAGAGTCCCAGCTGACGTCACCGAAAGCCTCCCCAAGCTCTGTCCTGGTCGGATCAGTGTCTGGAGAATCAGAGTATAATATATATATATCTCTCTCCAACATCATAAACGCCCCTCACTAAGAAGATTACGAAAGGGAGAGCGGAAGATCTTTCAATACCTGGTCTCCTTGACGACGCCAGAAAATCCTCGGAGAAGGATTCCCAGATGCAATACAGCTAAACGACACGCTTTGAAACGCTGTAGAAACCTGGTCCTCCGGCTTCACGTTGAATCTGGGCTTATCTGCAGAAGAAAAAGGATTGTCCACCGTGAATCTGCACTTTTGTATACGTGCGTAGAATTTTACCAGGCTCATCATCGGAATGCCTCACCATGGACTGTGAGAGTGGCATGCGTGGTGACCTTATCAACGACGTTCTCGGCCTCGCACACGTAAACGCCTGTATCTTCGGGAAGGACCTCAAAGAATTTTAGGCCTCTGTCATTGATGGGCTGAGCCCTTCCAATCGGTACTTGGTCGTTACGACGTCTCCAAGTTACGTGAGGCAATGGATCTCCTCCCACTTTGCAGAGAAACTCTACCTCCTCGCCCTCGACTGCAGTCACGTCTAAGGGTTTCTTGATGAAGAACGGCTTCACTGTTTCGCATCAAGAAAGCAAGGCTTGAGACGTGTTAAGGTGTTAAGACAAAATTTAAGTCCCCGATATGGTATTTTTTGTTCACCTAATACTGTGAGTTGGGCAGGCTCGGTGCGTCGGACTCCCACGTCGTTCTCCGCCTCGCAGACGTACAGGCCTTCGTCGGCTTTCGTGACGTTTTTGATGATGAGATCATGTCCATCCAATCGCATGTGGGCCGAACCCGAAGGTCTTTCGAGTTCCAGGATGACGTCATCTTTGAGCCATCGGACCACCGGGGGAGGTTGACCCCTGGGGGGCGAGCAGGGGAGGCGAACAGTTTCCCCCTTGGCTACTCGCTGGTCCGTGGGGGACGCCCGGAATTCTTCGCGCAGAACTACATGGGGTTGAGGGGGAAGAAAAAGAGGATCCATTTCATGGCCATCCATCAAAAGTTCGCGCCTCTGCGACCAAATGAAGTGAGCTGGAAAACAACAGCTCTACCGCGGGCGGTCGATCCCCCATCAGCCATCAGGCCAAAAGAAGGGCACCTGCGGGTCTATCTCAATTATTTTCCCGATATTTCTTATACACACGAGGGAGAAAAGGAGCAATCTCGCATGGGGGGAGGGGAGAGGGAGAGAGAAGAGACAGGGAGGAGCCGAACTCCATCCCCGTCGCTCTCGAGAATGAAAAGGCAATGATCGAACAACTCAGATGAAAAATCGGCTTGGAGAAGCTGGCAGATTAAGAGACGCATCACTCTTTTTCCATATTACAAGAGGGGAGGAAGACATGGAATTCAATGGGAGAGAGTAGGAGTAAGAGAGGGACCAGCCCCTCTCTCTCATACACACGAGCCTGTTGATTAATTCTCCGCCCAAAGCTTGTTTCATCAGTGAGACTATCCCAATTCATCAGAGAGCTTCCGCACTTCTCTCGATATGTATGCCATTTCCGCGGGAAAAATCTTTCATCTAATCTGGTCCTACATGAAAGAGAACATTCTGCGCCTGCCTCCAAGCAATTTCTCATGCACTGCGATGGAGGCAAATGATTTGTTTGACATACCAAACTGAATGCCAAGAACAACAGGGAGACTTTGGAACCCCCCTGCACCAGCATGAAAGTTTGGGTTACCATCATTATTGAGTAGGTAATGCACTGGCTTGACGACTGAGGAAGGCCATCTGGAGGGCGTGGGAAAGTCATCATTACACCTTCTGTTTTCACTTTTTTTTTTCTTCCAGTCTGTGGGTGTCTCCAGAGAGTCGATCTAGTTTCTGCTCCCCATGCATCCATGTCATCGTAAACAAGCGCGGGCATGGAAAATCAACCATTTTTTCTCCTCCCTTTTGCTTTCTTTTGCGATCGGGCGAAGCAAGGGAACCTGGAAAAGCAATTCCCCCAGCATACCGTAGATAGAGAAAGGGCCAAGTGAAACTTGTGCTTGGAATTCCTCCTAATCCCAGGCAGGGAAGGACTCTCCTTGTCACAAGCAGTCATCCGCTACACCGCGCACCATTTTCCAGACATTAACCTCAAAACAGAAGCATAATGTAGAACGGAAGTGCGAGATTTTTTAACTGGAGGAGGAATGTGGCGGTAGCAGGCCAGGTGAACAAGGGCATTTACGAGGAATCTATAGAGGTGAGAACCGAAGGAAACTTTCCTCGCTCCGTGAGACTGTTATCCATTCACATTTTTTTGGCATCGAACCGCCCTCGCTGAAGAATGCCAGAGGAAAGAAACTCCCCCTCTGTGAAAGAAATTTGAATTTATTTCCTCAGTTTTATTGCGGAGTTCGCAGATCTACGTGCTGGTCATTCCAGAGTCTGGGAATGAGCTCCCTCCCGAGGCGTATCTAATCCCAGCGTCCCATGGCAATATGACCTTGGAGATTATTCATATTGCCCCATTCCGGATATGCGGATTGGCCACGCTGCCAACTTGGTCTCTATCTCTATGTCTTAGCCCCTAGTCGTCTTGCCAGCATATGTGCTTGCGTGTGGGCAAGCGCCCTTCGAAATCACACGGTTTCTATTACTGTCCTTTCTCACTTCGTAGTTCGCTAATGATCAGTATAATGTGTGTTATCAGAAGCCCATCAGCTCAGACTCTCCTCTGCATGCCAACTAAATCTCCGTTATAATGAGAATTCAATGTAATCTCGTAACCTACCGCAGCGACAGAGAGACCGGGGCCATGAAATCGTAGCCTGTCAGATTTCATTTCCCCCGCTCCTCATTGACATTCCATTAGAAAATTGAACCTGGGATACCTGTTGTCTCCCCCACCCCGGCTGGTGAGTTAATGCCTCCCTAAAGGGGTCGGTTAATTATCATGCCTCCTGTAATTGAGATGCACTTAGAGTTCTGTTCGGGTCGATACCCTCTGTAGAACTTGCTCATTTCATAAACACCAATTCCGCAGAAACGAGACTAAAGTGCTCACCCGTAATTAGGTTTCACTTTAGAGTCACCTAGAGGACAGGCTGCAGATATATTCGATACTGTCAGATGTTCCAGGAGGGGGGACACATATGAGACAATATCTCCAGAAATAATAACCCAAGTCGGGCTGCTGCAAGGAAAAACACAGAGGGAGGAGACATGAAGGCATATATAGGGAGGGGGAAGGTATCAGCTGGGATATCGGACGGAGGAAGGGGGGGAAAAATTACTATTGATTCCTGAGTTAGTGTCCCGCACTCGCATTCATCATCACGGAATGCGGATGAGATCCTAATTCAGTTTCTGGTCAGAAAGAGAGAGGGGAAATCAGCGCTGATGGGCTTCCTCCTTTGCACTTAATCTCATTGTGTCGAAAAGTGGGGAGTCGCTCCATCAGAATATCGATATCACAACGGAAACTCTCAGAGGCTTGGGCTTGATTAAGATTCGTGATGAAATTCTACTGCTTTCCACTTCCTGGACGCATATCAAGTCCTCCTTCGCGAAAAAGAAACGCCTCCACGGCTGACCTCGCAGACGAATGTTATACATGTAAGTGGTGAATCAGTATCTGGAGGATGAGGATGAAGAATTTCGGCGGCATTTTCAGATGGGCTAGACTCGGGAAGGTGGAGAGGGAAGGAGAGAAACCTAAGCGAAAAGGGAAAAAACGGAGGGGAAAGAACACCCCTTCCTTTCCTCTGCTGCGCGACTGGTTCGTTTCAAGAGGAAATACGGCCATTGAAGCAAATGACATCACGGAGTCTCCTGCACAATAACAGGCTGATGAACTCGTTCCCGTCCCCAATGGAAGGGGGAGGGGGAAAGGACCAATTCCACCTCCCTCCCCCCATTTTTTTTTTTCAAGGAACCCATTCACGGTACTCTGTGAATTCTCCCCCCAGATGCGTCTGATTTCCTGCCTTCTTATGGATGCGCTGAAGTCGGGGAAAGACGCAGAGGAAACTGCACGTTTCCTCTCTCCCTCCCTCTCTAAAATGGTTGTAATAATTCATCAGACCATGGGAGGGCTCATTGTCATGTCGCCCATTACGCGTTCAAACAATAGAGATCTCAGACAGGCGAACAAGACCTCCGAGATGTTGAACACAACGCGCCTTGCATTCTCAATGTCATCGACTATATATAGATCCCAAATGTCATCATTCGAGTTACACGATCCCATAGACATTCTGTTCGAGTCTTTCCTACCTTCATACCCACGAAAACTATCTATAAAAATCGGTTTGGTTATGAGAAGCGACAAGCACGATGTTCGTGACGCTTCCTTTCTCGTTGCATGCATCAGCCAGGGAGAGCTAGAAATAGGTCTTGGCGCATATTGCGAAGAACTTCGGGAGAATGCCACATCAATGGGACGGAATCGATGCTGCCTTCCTGCCTGCCTGAGACCTCCTTCCATTATGGAAAGCAGCCGAGCCGAAAATGATTCCGGGGAATTATATCCATCAAGGGCAATGAAGGAAAAGAAATTCAATCAGGGTGAAAAGAGACGGAGAAAAACGAGATTCCACCAAACGAGTGAAGGTCATGTCAGGCCTTAACGCCGAGCATCCCTACCCAATCTACCGTAAGGAAAAAGTAACCCCAGGAAGCGGGTGGAGAGGTGAAAGAGGAGAGAGGAAGTGCCATTCGGGATGAAATCCCTCGTTAAATACCGCGTTGTGCGTGACTCGAACGTTACGACATATCAGAGCAAGCGAGGGAGATAATTCAAGCAGACTGATGTATATACGTCATGAAAGAAAGAAAGAGACAAAAGGTCAAGGCATAAATTTTGTTAATTCCACGAAGAATATACCTGCGACGGAAAGTGTGGCATCGTGGCTGCGAGCCGATCCGGCGGAATTCCGTGCTTCGCAATGGTAGACGCCGGCGTCCTGCTCTTTGCGGACCCGGAGGAAGAAGAGGGACCCAGACGGAAGCAGGACCCGATGCGGTTCCTGATCCCTAATACCGGTCACTGGGACCCCGTTCTTATACCAGGTGATGCTGGGATCCGGGGAACCGGAGGCTTGGCAGTTGAGGGTAACCGGTTGATTCCGACCGACTGTCACGTCCGTCGGATGCTCCGTGATCTTAGGCTCCTGACCATTCCCTGCAACACGAACATCATCCCAACATGGACATCACCATATGTCAACCAATGCATTGTTGCGCCGCTTCCTAACACGTACCGATGACGAACGGTCTCTAAGATACATTACACGACACCATAAGCATCGGAGCACTATCACTTTCTTTCGATACGTATTGCGCATGTAAAGTGCCGTACATCTATGCGTATCGGCTGTTATTCCAACTTGACGGCGTCGAGAATCCGTAAGGCATGAACCCTTAGGATAAAAAGGCCATTACAAAAGTGACGAAGTGATCTGGCGAAAGTCCTGTCACACGGAGGAAAGACATCGATGTCCCCCCTCGTGAAGGAGGAGGGGGGAATCGAAGCCGGGAGATCAAAGATTGGGAGGCTTGGCCTATGGCATCTCCGACTTCCTGATTACGAGGGAGGGAGGAAGGGGGAATAAGAATGAGCCCAGGAAGGGCGAAAGAAAGAGATCAAAGATGAGATAGAGAAGTCTCCTCCTCCGGTCGAATATGCAAACGTCTCCCTCTATAGGAGATGCAGGCACACGAAGAAGTTAGTAATTAAAATCCCCAAGGGAGAGGCACTGGTTTTGACTTCAATTCTCTCCATCCTTTTTCTCAGTCTCAGGTGCATCGTGCAATATATTGTGGCTGGAAAACAAAGGGAAATTTCTCTCGACCGTGCTGTCCGATGGGTCATGCCGCATTACCAAGGACAATATCAACTGAGGTTTACCTTAATTAATCAAATTTATCCCCGCCATTCGTGTATTTAGTCACGCTTTCTCAAACGTACGAGAAGGCGATACACGAGGTACATGTACGCATTACACGATGCTCGTTCGGCGAATCACGAAGGAAAGCGTTCCAGACGAATGCCACGGAACGGAGACGAGGAGGGTCACATTCACATGCGTGGGATTCTACGCACTGGGAAGTCGCCATAAAAGGGGGGCCATATCCGATGCAGGTGAACGAAATGATTAGCTTGCCCGCCTCGGAAAATAAGTCCGAAGGCCTGCACTAAAGCGATCATCCGGTGAAATCGAGTGAGGAGTGAGAGATAAGACGTAAGCAGGGGAATCAAGGGTGTATGTGCCTCGAAATTGGTTCAATCACGAAGAGATAGCTTCTCCAAATGGCACATCTCATCACCGCTTGTCAGCACTTTCCTCGACGTCTGGGGCTCCGAAGAGGGACCCTATTTGTCATCTTGCTCGTTCCTCTTCTTAGGATATCTCTCGGAATGGCTGAACCCCTCTGCACGTGTGTGTGTTTCTGCGGCAGGATGATAGTGGACAATTTATGACGACAGGGCAGACGTTTCCCATGAATTCCGGATAGGGTTTGGAGCACGTGTCGAGCCGAGAAGGAACGAAGAAAGCCGTTGAATATTCAAGAAGCAGCCTGTCATTTTGACATGTTTCATTTCCAAGAAGGGCAAAGGAGCCGAAGCCCTGGGATTAGCCTGCATACAACCGCAGCGCATATCAATGACGCCTTTCTTCCCTAGGGAAATTTTAATGGTACTCTCGTCATCGTCACCTCTTCCAGAAACCACAAGCAAAGCATTTAGACGATAAGGGAAAGAGAGGAGAATCACAGTCGCCGATATGCCCGAAGCATAATGACAGAGTGAGGACACAGGAAAGTGTGACGGTGAGGGATGACTTTTGGTTTTCCCTTCCCCGCCCTTTGTAAGCACCGTTTTCCTTCGGCTGACGAAGGGAAAATTAGCCTCGCATCACGAAAGGATTGCAGGAAATCAGCAGGTGGACAGAGCGTGAAAAATGAAGTTACGAAGAACAGAGAAAAAAATCGACGGGAAAAGCCAGACTCCTTCCCACGCTTTGAGGGCATGGATAATCGAAGATCGTCGCTATGATTTCCGGTCTGGCCCGAGAACGCCTAATTGAAAACTGGACACCTCCCAGCACCGATTCATCATTCCTAATGATATAATTAGACGCATCCACGGAAATTGGCGGGGTCCGGACCTCAATCAAAACAACATGCGAGTTCACACCATTGTTCCGTGGCCTCGTATCATTGCGATGCATCGAAGCCTCTCTAGCCGCCTATTCTAGTTATCACGAAGAGCATTTGCATTTAAAAGGGCGGGAGGTGGGAGATGGAGAACGTGATGCGATTGTCAGCCGTTTATAAGCCGGGCCCTCTTCGATGCCACCACCGTGGGATAGGGTGTAAGACGAGGAATTTTCCAACTCCGAGGGTACCCATCCATCAGCAATGCATATAGCGTGATCATGCATCATTTACTGGTACGTTGGTAGGTTCCCATAATGAAGCGGGAGCATGGATGGTGTATTACGACTCGCTTTTCGCCTCTTTATTACCAAGCCTGCCTGCCTTTCTTTCTTTTCTTTTTTTTCTTCCGTCCTACTGTCTGTCTTCCTCTCGCACATATTTCTCACTTCCTTCTTCGAGCCTGTCGCTACCATTCTTTGCCCATTATGGTAGCTGCCGAATCTTCCCGAACCCGGTTTTGTCTCACAGAAGTAAAAGTTCATCCCACTATCGTGCAGTCGTTGCAGGCCGACAAGAATGCGAATCGTTTGCATGCATCGAAAACGGAGGATTCGGCAGTCGTACGGCACGAGATGCCCCGTTTGAGACGGCGCTAATGACGTTATCTCCCCTTCCTCTGCTCGAAGAGCAAAGAGTGCTTTGGCCCACGTCCTCCTCTCGGTATGAATGGAACTCCCATTAGGGAAAATATGAAACCCTTCCCTCTCTGTCGCATGCTCGAACTCCTGTCGTAATATTCCCATCGAAAAGATGGACTGCCTTTTGTCTCTCTCCCTTTATCACGACAGCCAAGCCGTCCGGACTCGAAAGCTGCCAACTATGCCGTTTTTTCGTACCTTCTCCATCGCCGCGCAGCGAGTAGCGAGAACTACGTCGTCATACATTGGCGACAGTCGTAATCGAGGTTATCGTGATTCTCACGATCACCTCGTCCATCGGCAGGGAAAGTCGTGACATGCAAACCAATTCCACGATTATCCATTACCGTGGCGGACAGTAACACTAAATTATATCATATCCTGGTGAGCCAATTGAACGAAACTTCAGAAAATCTCAGTCGCATCCAATATTTCACACAAAAATATTTCTGAACCTTCTATCATGAAAGAGCGGTCAAATGTGTCAAAAGTAGATGAAAAAATATAATCGTAACCTATTAGGCTACCAGGAACTGGGCCCTGCTCGGCGTGACACCACGTCGCCGTCAGGGAAAGGGTTAACCTTGAATAAAGTTCAAAGAAATGCAAGTAGGAGAGATTTTTCACACGTGTCATGAGGCAGGTAAACAACTTAATTACAGTGGGAGCCGGTGGTGCGCATGTAACTTATTGAACAACATAAAAAAAAATGGGGTGAGAGACAGGCGAAGGACAAAGCATCGATCTTGCTTATGCAGATATTATCAAGGAAAGACGTGTACATATGGAAAAAGATTGCGCCTGCACGCACCCGCTAATCAATCTGAAGCATTTTTACAGCTCTACGTTTCTTCTACCTGCCACTCTCATCTCTTGAGTTACGATCATGGTTCGATAGCACGCCATTGCAATCGCACGGATCACCGTTTTCTCCTTTCCATTCTCAATTATGTAAGGGGGCCACTAGTTTTTTTTCCTTCGACCGAATTCATAGGTCATATATATAACCTGTCAAGACCTGCTGCATTTCCATGGAGACGCCTACCGCTGCGGAGTTGCTCGATGCTCGTAATCGAAAGAGAGAACCCATAACGTATTCGAATGCTCGATTTATCTCTTCCTTTTAATATTTTGATGGATTGATGGGTGTTCTCGGTGCGGCAAGATGGAAAATTTACAGAGGCATGAAAATGTCGTAAACGGCGAGACGAGAGATTAGCACTAGCCGGTGGGGAAACTCCGGGGGATGAGAGGTAGTATTTATCTCGGAATGCATAATGAACTCCGGTCCGGTCCGGGGCTATCACCGGACTCCCAATCTCTCGGTACGGAAGGGCTATGCATTTCCAACGGGATGGACGAGCCAATAACAGAGATGAAATGAGAGATTCCCACGCGAACCGAGCGAGGATATACGGCGCCGTATCGTGGGCAAAGGTGGCCGGTTGCCCATTTCGAAAGGGTGAGAAAAGGGGCAATTTTCTCCGGACCGGGAATCCCTTCGCGATGCATTCTGCGCGGGGAGGTGCGAAGTAGGAGCAGAGGCATCATTTCCGGGCGATAGAAAATCAGGAGGGAAAACGGGGCGGGCAGCCATAAATTTACGTGTCATGATATCGCGTGGAGCCCGATAGATAAGACCTGAAAGCATGCACATTCATGTAATAGAATCCAACCCTCCCCTCCTCCAGGACCAAACCTTCCTAAGAACACGTGAAACATGTTCTCTCCTTTTGACCCATGTGCGTAGATAACCGTCATTAACCCGACGGACCTCCGAGCGATCAACAGGGTTTCGCCATCCTCGTACGCCAACCTCGTGATATTTCATTAAACGTTTGTGGGAAAGAAATGCCCTGGAAGAGGGAAAAAAGGTGGATCGAGTTAACAATACGGTCGAAGGCCGTGAAGAAGAAAAAAATATCCCCTCTGTCGAAGGGGAATGGGGTTTCTTGAAAGGCTCATCGGGTTGGAAGATGAAAACAGCCCATAGGTCAGGTAAAGAAAGGCGACTTTCCCTCCGTCGGAAAAAGGTCTATCTTTTCCAACACATTGAATGGCAATACATCTTCCTCGTTGGGCTTCCCCTCGGATCCATTCAATGGGTTCACCCACGCGTTCATGCAACCACAGCCCTCGTACGATCATATCCCCGAACCCTGGAAAATACTTGGGGTTCGGAACGAGGATGAGAACATGATAAAAGGGGGAAAGAAAAGATTGCGTGCTGACCACTGGTTCTCTATCCATCCAGTCCACACATCCCGCCGTCGCCGCCGCCACCGTCGCCATTGTAATGCAGTCACGAAATACCGAGATCTAGATCGCACCATCTTTC